ACATTACTTCGCTATATACTAAATAAAGATCACACAGCGATGCTATACGTTAACCACAATTCGGGAAATGCATCAAAAGATTTTTAATTTTTCAATACGATTGTTGGAATACTTTCACTATTATTATTTTGAGAATTTTCAATGTTTTTTACAAGAATTAGTTCTATTTATTATGTCAGATTCATTTAGTTTATCTCCATAGAAAAAACATGATTCCATTGAAATAACATTACTCACATAGATTTCGCATTATCCATGTTATTCCTATACCATAGACTTAACATTGTCCATAGACTTAGCATTACCCATGTTATTCCTATGCCATAAACTCAGCATTATCCATGTTATTCCTATGCCATAGACTTAGCATTGCCCATAGACTTAACATTGTCCATAGACTTAGCATTACCCATGTTATTCCTATGCCATAGACTTAACATTGTTCATAGACTTAGCATTACCCATGTTATTCTTATGTCATAGACTTAACATGATCCATAGACTTAGCATTACACGTGTTAAGTCTATGTCATAGATTTAAGCTGTAATCTTATAGAAATCTATTGAAAAATTTCCCTATAGGATTAACATTACCCATAGGATAACATTAGTCCATGTTAAGTTTATGGAAAACTATTATTATTTTGAGAATTTTAAATGTTTTTTACAACAATTAGTTATATTTATTATGTCAGATTCATTTAGTATATCTCCATAGAGAAAGCATTATCCCATTGAAATAACATTACTCCCATAGACTTAGCATTACCCATGTTATCCCTATGTCATAGACTTAACATTGCCCATAAACTTAACATTGCCCATAGACTTAGCATTGCCCATGTTATTCCTATGCCATAGACTTAGCATTGCCCATGTTATTTCTATGCCATAGACTTAGCATTAACCATGTTATTTTTATGTCATAAACTTAAGCTGTAATCCCATAGAAACACATGTTAAAGGGTCCCCATGTTAATCCTATGAGAGCTTTAACATGTTAAAGTATAGCCATAGGTTTAAGCTGTAATCCCATGTTAAATCCCATAAGTGATAAACACATGACTCCAGAGTTGAGGCAATTATTTGTTGCATTCAATCAAACTTTATATTACTTTTGATTTTATATTTAATCAATAAATTCATTATTTAATTAATATATAATATGTATAGAATTGCTACTATTTTTATAACTCTTATAATTCTTCATTTTAATTATAAATTTTAATAATGTTTTATATTCAGTAATAAATGTAAAGTGTATTATAAAATCTAACATGATCATTTTATCAAATATTCTTTGTATAGGTATTAGAATTATAGATAAAGTTTGATTTACATTTAATTTGTTAATGTTCGTAATATGAATTGTTTCATTTTAAATTAATATTAAATGAATGCTTAATATTTTCCATTTAAAAGCATGTATTTTTAAATATAGTTGTCTATCTTAGAGTCATTTGATCGAAAAACTAATAAATGTTAACAGTAAATAGATTTACAATATTATTATATAAGTTAAATAAATTGATAATATTTACCATAATTACCATAATTACTGTAAACACAACTATACATTACATTGTTTTATAGCGCTTATGAATTATTCCCTATTCTTGCGTTACATGTGACTGAAGCGCCGCTTTAGACAATTGGACGGTTGCTATGATATTGAGATTCATCCGACTTTTCACAACATTTAATTTTATTTCCAATTATTGCCAATAAATGTATATTTGAAATAAAATGAAAATATAATTGTATGGTTAAGATAGTGATGCCGTCAACACATATAATACCCGTGCGATTCGTTGTAATGATAGGACATCTCGTTATTCTTATACTTTTATTATGGGAAAGAGTTGAGTCAATCCGTATATCATTATAAAGAATATTATAAATAAAACCATAAACTTATTGTTTTAAGTCTTAATGTTTTTAAAGGATGATAGCGTTAAAGCGTGTATTCCTTGGAATTATAATGAACTCTCGTCTCAATATAAAGACAAGAATATCGAGTAATTATTATATTATTCTTAAATTGTGTTTTATTACAATCTTATGATTAATATTTAATTCAAATGGTTTTAGATTAATAGTTGGACTTTCGATATCACTTGTGCTCATAATTTTAGAATTCATTGGAGTAATTATTATATTATTCTTAAATTGTGTTTTATTACAATCTTATGATTAATATTTAATTCAAATGGTTTTAGATTAATAGTTGGACTTTCGATATCACTTGTGCTCATAATTTTAGAATTCATTGGGTTTTTGAGTGGAATCTCAATGTTTTATTCACTGCAATCATTATTTTGTAAGTATTGTACAAATCACTAAAGTTTGTGATATTAAGTCAAAAAAAATAAACGTGTCATGTATTTATTTGCACAATATTTTATATAAAATACGAAATTATATTTGCTAAACTGCAAGAATTGTTCATATACTGTATAAGTTCTCGGCTAAAATTTTCTTACAAGTTAACTTTTAGAATCAAGTTTAAACAAATTAATTGTACACATTTATATCATGATTAAATTGTAATAATATAAGAAATATGATATTTAAAGACTTTGAATCATATTACAATATACCGTGCAGAACAGCTTTTAATGACAACAATAATCTTTAATATTTCCTTAGCTCATACATGCAATCAAGAATCCGATTTAAAGATTTTAAGCCAGATAAACACTTATGATTTGGATGTTTGATATTCACTTAAAACATTAAAAATTTACATAGAACAAGTAACTACCTGGTTATTACAACGCAAAATTGAAATATTGTAAACTTGACAATTGTTAAAATTGAACAAGTACATTTTAAATGGCAAGCAATTGAGATTTTGTAAAATTCTCTCTGAGCAAAATACTTTTATTCAATTGGTTTATTACAAAAATCCTGATATAGATATCGAGCCATATTTTATTCTGAACAATTTGATATATAGTTTGTCAAAATCAAGCAAGTAATTTTTGAGTTAAACTTTATAAGAACTTTTAGAGTCTAGAACTTAGAAGAGTCTCTCATAGAAATACGTTACTGCGCTTACGTTTGTCTTATTTTCTTTCATTCAATTAGTTTATCATAATATTTATAAATATAATTTTAATTTGTACGTTGAAAATATTTAAAATATTTGAAAATTGATATATTTCTTTAAGTATAAAATAAATTGTCATGTATTGTAAGGGTAAAGTGGGAAACACAACATTACAACAAAATTGAAGAATTGAATACATGGAATAATGATACTTTGATACCCTATTACAAACGATTATGTTAAATGTATTTATTGAAATGATTACCGTAATACTGTGATAATGAGAATAATTAACATGAAACTATTACAGTAAAAATGGTCAAATTTGTTATCTAATGATCGGTGTCTTCATACTCGATGCCAATTTCACTTTCCAATCATTACTTGTAGTAGATTTAGGTTTAAATTTCAATTATGGTAAAATCTAAAAGTGTAAAAATACCGCAACTATACTTACTATTTGATAGAAAAGTTTAATCATATAACGTATTAGAATTTTATATTTATATCGCTTATCTAATTTAGTGATAATGTAAAGTAAAAACTTTATATATAGATATCACATTAATCCTTTTTTGGAATATTATGAAATTATATTATTTTTGAAATTCTTATTTGAATGATTAGTTAAAAATAAAATATTTATTCAACAGCTCTAATATCCCACTCCATGGCATGTGTTTGTCTCTGTTATTTCATAACCGATGTCTGGGATTGCAGCCTATTTTGGTGGATATTCTCGTTATTCAGTGTATTGCCAGCCCTTTCCGAAATAGGTTTACTCGTTTCGGTTCTTCTTTTTAAAAAAATATAACTGTAACTCAATTTTATACAACTGTTCACAATATGTTCAATCTCTACACTTAATCGCATTGTGCTTATTGTATGCACTTTATTATAAAACATTAATAGCCAATAAAACAATATCACAATTTGATTAATGAATGCTTTTTATTATTTATATGTATTAAATGGATGTATAAATATATATACTAAATATCGATTATTATTGTATGCACTTTATTATAAAACATTAATAGCCAATAAAACAATATCACAATTTGATTAATGAATGCTTTTTATTATTTATATGTATTAAATGGATGTATAAATATATATACTAAATATCGATTGAAATATATTTGATTTATAAATGATTATAACAAATGTCTATCGATGAAAAATAGAGCAAATGATGATTCAATTCATTAAATGTCTATAAATAAAGTTAATATTTGTAACAATTTGTGATACAATCACTTTGTTTTGTCAAAATAACAAAATGGTTAATAAGTTTACAATTGATATGTGTTGTCAATAATGAGCACAAAATTCGTTAATAAGTTAAGCCAATAGTAATTTAAGGCTTCGTTTCAGTTATAAATATAATCACAATTTGATTGTTAGGACGGATTCGTTATATGCATAGCATTAAGTTCTCGCAACAATTGTTAACTAAACTAATAATAAATTATTTATTCTTCACTTCCAAGAGTTGTGGATAATTCTCGACAATATTTAGAAGAATTCCATCGATATATGCCCTGAGTTTGACATTCACTTCTTGCTGTTCTTTCAGAGCCGTTCGCAACTATTCGTTCAAACAGTTAAACAAACGGTTATATAAAACATACAATAATACAAAACAAATGATTAATACCTGATCGGAATTAAAAGTTCCCAATTCTGATGCCAGCGATGAAACCACTTCTCCTTCTTTCAGAAGATTTCTTCCCTCTTCTAAACGATTATTGAGAAGAAGTGCCGAAAGCTCTTCATTCGCTTCTCTAAGGGCTATGTTTTCATCTTTGAGTTCTTTCAACTGTCGATCCATTTCTGAATTGTATAGCAAATCGATGTCATCACTCGAAGACATCGTCCGTTGCTTTGATTCAAACAGTTTTGGAGCCTTCATATCGAGTAACTCTTGGTTTAAGGCCTCAATAACACGACAATTGACATTATCTTCGTCTTCTTGTTTGCGGACAACTTCTCTCAATTTGTTCACTTCAAGTCTTAAGCCGTCGACTTCGATGGTCCTATCGTTGAGCTGGTCTTCAAGATCTGATTTCACACTTTGAAGTCTTTCGACAATATTTTGATATTTTCGCGACTCGTCTTTGGCGTCGACTAACTCTTGCTGTAAACCATAGATTTTATTCAAATATTGATCACATTCTTGAGATTTTTCCCGATCATGTCTTGCCATCACATCCTTATAACGTCTCTCCTCTTCGTTATGTCGATCGTCGCTTTGGATCTCAATATCTCTGAGCTGTTCCTCCAATGTGTGAATTCTAAGACACGAGTAATAGTAATGATCAACAATATGTACTCAAATACATGTCATATTTAGGGCAAAAGTATTAAGTATTAAACATTCAATCGCTTGTAATTGAAAACATAACATGAAATATGTTTTGTATTCAAATCCTATGAAAGTGAGTGAAGATAACGACAACAACAATGTTGTAAACGTCAACAAAACTGCTAATAATAATAGCATTGAATGAATGAATGGGTGGAAGAATCCATTCTTCAAAGGTTTTTGGGGTTTGGCTTATGTTTAGCATTGGATAGAAGTTATACAATACATGCAAAAGAGTAGAACTTTTTGGACAAATATTACTAATTAGACATAATTTGATAATTAATACAACAATTAAAACAAAATGTTTGCACAAAAAGATTCAATACTTAGTCAATAGGTTAGCGTTTTCTTGTTTAACTCGCGTGTATTTGTCTTCATTGCTGATCTGTCCCTCAGACAAGTAGTTCACCTGTTCTTGCAATGACTGGATCTTTGAACCGATAAAAACAAACTCATATATCTTCCACACAGTTGTCGAGACAAATGAAAACATACTTTTTGTGTCAGATTGAGAACGTCTTCCTCAATAGTGATGGTGTCGTTAATCATGTCATCGGATTCACAGCTTAACGAACTCATAGGACTCGAGCCATTCGTCCCATTGGTTGGACTCATTCGGAACAGTTCTCTACAGACAAATGAAAAACACTTTCACATATCATGTATTAAAAAATCCCCGCTTTTGCCCACAGATTAAGAGATTAGGGGAGCGATAGGTCATGAGAGGGGACTCTAATCCGAGATAAGACAACATATGATATGACGATAAGTAGATTACAGTAGAAGTGAGTGTTGTGTCAAAAACATGCCATAAGTTAGACATTAATTAGTAATTGAAGAAAATGAGTGGTAAAGGAGTGGATAATAGAGGTATGAATGGTATGAATGATAATGAGGTCGAAGTGATGGATGTGATGATCACATGGTGTCATACTTTGCGTGTTGTTGTGCTGAAGACGAGACCCGTTTGAAGTTGTGGTGAGAGGAGGACCTGCGATACATTTCAACCACACTTTGCAATCAATTGAAACTAATTTTAATTACAAATCAAATCTAATTAAACATAAAATAGACGCCAAATGAATAAACAATTGCTAAACACTATTACTAATGGAAACAACACTTGTTTTCTCCTCAAACAACACATACACAACATGTAAACCAATGCTATCCTATGCTAAACCACCCCTCAGGCCATCCAATCACTACAAAACACTATAACAATCATTACCTGTCATTGACTGCAGTGCCCGACACCACCACCACTACACCAGTCATTACAATCGCACAACATTTCCACGCATTTTACATTATTTTTTAACCCTTTTAATTGCTGACCAAATGTCACAATTATTTCTTTCAAAAGCACTCACTTTTAATCTTTTTATTCATTGCGATAACAAATGTTTGCGCAAAATATTATCACTTCTTTGTCATTCAAAGTAACAAAAGTTTTAGACAAAAGTTACCGCAATTTGATATGTTTTCAATACATTTTAGTTAACAGTAAAATAACTAATAAACAAATGTATTAAACAAATAAATGCAAATATTATCCGATTTGCGCAAAAATGATTTCTTTTGACCGAATGATAAGTTATCATAAGTTAAATGAAAATAAATATTTATTTAATGAAATCATATTTCTTTTATTCAACACACGGTCATTGATTGCATATATATTTAATCGAAAACTACAATAATATAAACTTTTCAAAATAGTATTAAACAAATGAATGGTATGAAAGTTATGTTTGACGATTGGCGCGATGTTGAGATACTAATTGCTTTTTCCTCATAAGGTTAGCGCTTCTGGCCTTATGTTCTTCAATCTGGTCGACGAAAAGGCATTTGAGAGTTGGAATCATTTTTGGCAATTTCTGAAGATCTGAGAAGCGAACCCTCATATTGTCGAAAGCGATTCCCACTCTATCGCTGAAATTCTCGTTAAACACCGGAATCTTTGAATATCGTTGACTAAAATGAGTCAAAATTGTAAACTTAGCGCCCATTTCGTTGCCCACGTCTATGGCCTCGGATGTGGTGCTATGAAACTTGAGTCGGGCCTCATCTACGAGCTCGTCCTCCATCGACGCCTCGTGAATCAATAGATCGCAGTTTCGGCCAATTCTGGTCAGATTGGGTGTCGGCTGAGTATCGCCAGAATACACTATTTTAACACTATTTGGTTCGCTATTAGTAGTGAACGAAAGGCCATAACTATGCGAACAATGAGGAACCAAACATGTCTTCAATTCCCTTAATCGCAGTCTTTTCAACACTCTTTCATCGCTTTCTGATATAAACTTTTTATTGTTTATGATTTCAAATAAATGTGCGATCGGTTCCACGCATTGGTGATAGTTCTCGAGCCAATTGATGACAGCCGGTGGTATAATCATCAGCAGCGGTTCCGATGTGATGGACGAGCGTTTCTTAAGGAGATTAAGAATTCCCAAGTGATGGTCGGCGTGAAGATGACTCACGTAAATGGCTTTCAATTGTTTGAGCCGTCGATCGCATTCTGTGCCGTAAAACCTGAACAACTGTCCGAACGTTCCTTCGCCGCAATCCAATAGGAAAGCGGTCTCGCAATCGATGTTCACCCAAATGGCACTCGTGTTCCGCACTTTCGATGGAACCGCAGAACCGGTTCCTAAAAATATAATTTCTGGATATTCTTGAGTTGTGTTCACGAGTTGTGATTCCCATTCGTGATATTTCTTAAGGCTTTCGGTAAACGGTGTGATAGCAAAGGCTTCTTCTTTGATAGCATTTGTGTCAATACTGACGATATTTTCCAAATCAAATCCTTTCAGATTAGAAGGTCTCAAATGATATCGCGATAATGTGTTTGTATTCTTCACTTTATTTGTCTCTTCGTTCGTGTTTTCGGTTTCGTGACAATAAAGTAATGGAAATATTGTCGAATCAATTAAATTGAGCTGAATTTGTAGTCGATTGGAACCGATTAGACTCGGCTGAGGATTATCTTCATTCACAACTATATGATCGACTGAATCGCCAAAACGGTTCATCCATTTCTTATACCTCTCGTCATTAAATACTTCTGAAGGAGTGAAGTGTACGACAGCTGACAGCAAATCCAATTCATTTGACACACTTTGAAGAATAGTTTGATTATTAACTAAAGAATCGATATAATGAATGGACGGACACTCGAGTACCATAAAAATAAGTCCCTTTTCTTGGGGTCCCATAACATCTTTGGAACAAATGACTCTATTGTCTGCTAAGACAATGTCTTCACCCGATTTAAGTTTGCCGAGCAGTGGTCCGGGAGGTATCTTCAATTCAATGCATTTCTTAATCATCAGTTCTCCCGCTCTATCCTTCAGTTTACACGTGTATACAAATGACACTTCATTGCTATCATTTGATACAATTTCATCTGTTTTTAATTTCTTAATCCTATTGTCTTCTGTCGAAAAGTTTGACTCAATTGGCAAACAATTAACCATAAGATCTGTGTCTTCATAACTATAGTCAGTGTAACAATTAGTTTGTATTTTCATTCCCGTAAACGTCAAGAAGTGATTATAAAGGCTGAGAATTTGGTCGATCTTCTCGGGGCCGTGAAGTGTGATGAGAGGGACACCGATGTCCTGACACGTGAGCGCCAGACCAACGATTCCACTCATGTTTTCGACACAACGTTTAGTTATGAATATGTTTTCAAGTTTTGAGAGTTTGAGTCTAAATTCACAGATAATTAGTTAATTGTGTGAACGGATCAAATCAAAGTGATGTCTTACTTGTGTTCATTGGCCAGACGTTGTGTGCCTTCACCGCAATTGAATAGATAGCTGTTGCGTTCGGTGAGCACATAGAGAGCTCTTGGATTGCCTTTGGATCCGTTGCCCAAAACACACAATTGAAACACATTTGAAACAACTTTATTATTGGCCGTCTTTTTGGCGCTTTTTAGCCGATTTTGTCGCAGTTTCTCCAGTAATACAGTCTTGTCTTTAGGCATGTCTTCCTCTTTGATGGATGTGTTGACTCCGAGTGCAGACAATTGTCTAAATCTAGTAATCAATGTGTGTTTCAAGTGATGGCGAAGACATGTGTTTGAAGTGAACCCAAAGGCAGCCATAGTTTAGTGCCATTGAGTGATGCAATCATTCACTCAATACAACGCAAACACAACACAAACACGCGTTCATTACTTATCGTCATTTCTCTGATCCAAGTCTTCGGCGATGACTGAACACGAGGTGAAAGCGTACGAGTTTTGGCGCAATCGTCTTCAGGAGTGTCGGCATATCTTGGCTCCAATGGTGGATCAGTCGGAACTGGCCTTCAGACTACTTGTGCGCCAATACTATGCCATTGAGTGTTGTTATACACCAATGATTAACGCAAACTCTTTCATCAAAAATATTAAATACCGGAAACAAAGCTTACAAACCACTCCCGAAGACCGACCACTTATTCTTCAGGTATGCGAGGGTTGAGTAGTGTGTCTGTTGTGGCAGATGTTGACTGTTGTAATGATTATATGGTTTGAATGTCTAGTTCTGTGCGAATAACAGCGATGTCCTGTTGGAAGCGTCCAGAATAGCGGCCTCTCATTGCGATGCGATTGACATAAACCTCGGTTGTCCGCAATCGGTGGCCAAACGCGGACATTACGGCGCTTTCCTTATGGATGAATGGGATCTCATCTATGATATGAGTAATGCATTTCAGATTAAATGCAAATTTAAAGGACTAATCGATTGATTGATTAAATAATATTTTAGTAAATCGTGTTTCGCGTGAAATTCAAATCCCAATCACATGTAAAATAAGGATTTTTCCAGAAATGGATAAATCGGTTGCTTTCGCACAAATGTTGGAAAAAGCGGGCGTTTCTATGATTTGCGTAAATATTGATTTGAGTTGTATTTCGAGACAATTATAATTTATTAATTGGTGTTTAGGTTCACGGAAGACGTCGCGACCAAAAAGGGCCGTTGACTGGAAGGGCTGATTGGGATTACATCAAAGCCATTAAGTACTGTATTTGCATTTATTTATAAAAAAAACTTTTTAAATTAAAAAATATTTATTAAATAATTAGAAATGCTGTTAAGATTCCTGTGTTCGCAAACGGGAATATCCTTTCCCTAAATGATGTGCACAACTGTTTAGCACAGACTGGTGTGGAAGCAGTGATCTCTGCTGAGGGTCTTCTCCACAATCCGGCCCTTTTCACCGATAAAAGGGTTCCCATTTGGACGGTAGCCGAACAGTACCTAAGCCTCGCCCGACAGCATCCCTGTCCCATCTCTTTCATTAGGGGCCATATCTTTAAATTCTTTTATCACTGCTTTATGTTGTCTTCAAATGAAGACCAAAGAGAAAGAGTAGCGAAAGCACACGACATGACTGTCTTCGAAGAGGTCACGCAAGAGCTGAAGACCAGATATGAAGAGATTTATGAAAGAGAAGCCAAAGAAACGGACAATTGGAACAACTGTACGACTCTTCCCCCATATATCTGTCAGCCATATCTTAGACCTGAACCTAAACTCGTGGATCAGCTGACGACCACCAAAAGGGTTCCCGAATGCGAACCAGAAGAATGTAAAATAAGATTATCGAAAAAGAAGTTAAAGCGTATGAATCGTGTGGTTAGCGGTGTTGAGGTAAATGATGAGAAAGTGGTTCCCAAACGGATTCTGTGCGCTCTTTGTCCGAATCCAAAGGGAGAGAAATGCGATTTCAATATCTGTCGGACCTGTTGTCGCAAAAAGACATTCGCAGAAACACTGGATTGCAATGGTATTGATTTGATGTTTCATTTAATTCGTAAGACTTGTGTTAAACTGATTGTTGTTTTCGTTGTTTAGGCCATAAGTTCCAAATGAAGACTCGTTTCAGTAAGAAATGCCAAAATGTGAACACTTTAAACACATAAGTGTTTTGATATTTATTAAACATTAAATTTTATTTTAAAGCAAAAAATTTATTTTAATTTACATTTTATGTTAATATAAACTACATTACAATCGCATGAATATTTTAAAATTGAAATATTATTTAAAAATTTAAGATTAAATTCAATCATAAAGTCAGCAATACTTGAGAATAAGTTGTAAAGAAGTATCAATTGATAATTGGTTTTATAGACATATATTTGTATCAATGACTAGCAATACAAGTGTTGGTTGTATGAGTCGGCGGTAAAAAAATAATTAAATCCTATTTTAAAGACAATGAAAATATTATTTCATAACTTTGGATATGAATACAGATTTGAGTTGAGTGTTAAGTAACTTATATACGGTATAAACGGATAGATTGATAAATAATTGAAATTAAAACATCTGTCAAATATTGGGTATTAAATGACATTGAATTACAATTAAAACCTAAATATTAATAATTTATAACAAAATTGATTTGAAACCAATATTCTATAATCGATTCTAAAGCTAACACTGAATCCATTTTAAATGCAAATATTTATAATTTGTTATATAATTGAATATTTAATTATATATAATATCTATAATAATATATTTAATTTGAAAATACTGTTTAATCAGAAAATTTGTTATCAATTGTTTTGCAAGAATAATATTTTATATTTTTTAATTGTTTTTAAAACATCTATTTTTAAGAATAAGATTTCCGTTTGAAATGAAGTACATTTAAATCAATGCAAAAATGATGTGCGCTTTAAATGTCATTAAATTTATTATTTTTTATCTATATTTTGAATGAATTGATGGCAAAACAAATCAATTATAAAATGAAAGTAATAATGAAATCAAATAATTGTCAGTCGACTGAAGGGTTATGTAAAGTGAGTTATCGCTGATTAGATGTTTGTCCAGCGGTAGCGTTAAGTACTCGATTGCCGGCATTAATATGTTGTAAGCTATGGTTATGGTTGTGATGATGTGATACGCGATTATTAATTAGATTACTATTGGTTGGCATCAGGTTTGGAGACGAATACATCATTGCCGGCATTGTATTCGAGTTAGACCTCTCTCTCAGCCCTTTGTTCTCTGTTGTGGACATCTTTGAAAAGGCCAACAAAGTGTCGGGAAAGTTGGGTGGAGTGGCCGGTGTGTTGGCCGGAGTGCACATCTAAGACAGCAGACATATTAAGTCAACATTTGAGTACAAGTTGCGAATCAAGCAAAAAAGCATTCAATATAGAAATATTGGTCACAACAACAAACTGGTTGTCATGAGTTGTATGCGTTATGAATGCATTCATCACTAATTTGCTCTCATCTGTAGGTAAATCCAGTTTTCAAACTTCTCAATCGCTTATTTAATACATAACATTGCATTCAATTCAACACAATTTAAGTTAAATATTTATATAAACAAAACTAACAACAAATAAATATCAGTTCTGGCGGTCGTTAACCTTATTTACTAATAAAATGTCATCATTTCTATTCAATATTATGATTAAACCTTATTATTAATGCTTTATTAATATAAAGAAATCAAATTCAAGATAACATTGAATTGATATAAATATTAATAACTTTTTTATATAACACTTAAACCAAAGCTTATACTAATAAATATGGGTTTCATTAGTGAAGTGATTATTTGTTTGCGCAATACTTACAATTCAAACCAATTGTAAACTCACTTTAATCTAAAAATGCATTTTATTAACTAATTTTAAATTCACTAAATTATTCATTAATTAAATTATTATTGACTGCAATCATACAATTGATTGCATTGAATACTGAATGTAAATAACAATAAAGCATATAATCTATAATATGAGCGCAAATGCTATACAAATGCTATAATGGATTTCAATCACTTCAAGGATAAAACAAAGCCTTCCTATAGTTATACAGATATATAGGGTTAGAGTTACCGGAGATTCATATCACGGGTCAGACACCAGACCTTCAGATCATACATTTGTTACCACATTTTGCCACAAATATATTTACATATACTGTACTCAACACATGGGTTGACAACAAATCAATGGTTAGATTTACGGCAAAACATTACACAAATGTCAACAAAATAAGAGAGCAATGAGACGACCGGAACAGCCGATAGTTACCGCAATAGTCAACACATTTGTCACTCCTTTTTATCACAAGTAATTCAAAATGTCTTAAGGAAGACATGGAGTGATCGCTAAGTGAATGAATGGACGCAAAGAAGCGCTAGTATTGCGCAAAGACTTACAGATTTCAAGTGTGGGTTTGAATGGCAGGCATTGGACTCCTGGAAGAACATACTTAACGCCGTCTAAGACATGGAAGACATGGAGAGAGCAATGATAAGAGCAATGCAAGTGTTGGAAGCGATGGGTGATGTCATACCTCGAACTGCCAGTGCGTGGACTGCAAGAGTTGTATGGCCTGATCGCGAGCACAACCGGCCGCAGACACGAACTGATTGATCATCACTTGTTCCCGAAGCGAATCCATTGCGAACAATGTGTGGATGTGTTGGAAGTGATTGGCAGACAACTAGTGGCGAATGTATGGCTCGAATCACACGATGTTTTGTCCCTTTGTTTTGGTTAACGAATCAATTGTTTGGCAAAAAACGACAACAAATATGTGTTGATATAGTGTTTGTAGTGTTAGTAGTGTTTGAATGCCTTCACAACACATACGACGGACACAACACACGAACTGTTGTTGTCATTCAAACACCAAAACACACATTAAAGCCAACTATACCTCAACTGGT